GCGGACGCTCAGCGTGCATGGAATGTATTCAATGCACATTCATAATAAGGAAAAGAGAATGCAAGAGAAACGAAAAAGAAAAGTATTTTTTAATCGAGATTACGTCAAAAGTGAAACTAAAGTTGAAATTAATGGTGCCTGATTTTTTGAATGAATAATGATAATTTAAATATTACCATTATAATATTGCTATCCCACCGCCCTTTTTTTTTAAATGCAAATGAGAGAGACCCAAACCGTACAACAGCCGACTATTGTTGTCCAATAAAATGGCTTTTTCGAATTTTATCCTTTGCAACTTTATGCATTGAGTGTGATTCTGTCTTTTCACGTAATCAGATATGTCATTGTGTATAATTTGTCATATGCATATTATACCAACCCCCGAAGCGCACACATATACCCATCCAGCCCACAAAAGCCAAAACGTTTTAAATAAAGATCGGATGCATTCATCATATCCACAGACATTTCATATCGAAAGTTTTACGCTTTGTTAAACGCTGTTTGTTGTTAGGTATATAAAAGCGCGTGATGGCGGACGTACACACGCGTGCCAAGAAAAATTCCTATTGCAAAACATAAATAAGTCGCATGAGGCACACAAAATGGAATGTGTGCTGTGCTCGGCTTTCGCTTTTTTTGATTGTTTGTAATCGGTTAGAATGATTAATCATTCAACACTGTGAAACTTTATATTTTGCAACACAATTTCTCAAAATGTGAATAGATGTCATGCTTTTACAGAATGGCTTAATGCCTAAATAGCTGGGTACACGACCGTTTTCAAGATTCCATGGAAGATGGGAAAAAAAGAAGGCGAATAAACAAACGGAAGAAAAGGAATGATGCAGAAACGACAAATGAAAAATCTTAAAACCATTAGTATCTCCGACCCAAATTCATATTTAAGTATTTTTTGCATGTGATACTAATATTTAATTCATCGGCTCCGAGATCATATGCATGTGATATGTGACAAAATAATTACGCCCTGATTAATTCATCTCGCTCTCTTTCCCTTTCTTTTTCGTTTTTTTCTCGTTTGGAAGGGAAAAGGCGGAAATAATTGTATTTAAATAATAAATACACACGTGACGTGTTATAATTTTAACTCAAATTGGCCTATAGGTCAAAAGTTTGAGTCAAAACTATATGCATTGAAACGTCGTCTAAACATTTTACCAACCCATTTTTTGAAGCAGAGACAAAAAAGTTTAGATGAAAAAAAGTCGTATAACATATTGAAAAGGATTAAATTATGTACCAGCGTTCTCAACGGCGGCCATTTTTCGATTCCGACGCCGATCCGACGCCGAGGATATTCAATCCGAGGCCGACCGATCTCCGAATATCTCGGATCGGATCGGATCGGTGGTCGGTCGTGGTCGGTGCTCGGAGTTCGGAAATATTTAATGAAATGATTTTGACAAGAAGAAGAAATCGATTGAATACAGCGCACATCGAACAATTGTTATTTTTGAATAGAAATTTAAAATGATCTAAATTTTTAAAAACGAATGAATGAGATAAATTGACGATTAATAAAAATGGGTACAAAAGAAAAATTAATTCAATTTAAAAAAAATATTGGTTTTAATTTTGTGAGCATCCGATCAATATCCGAAAACCGAATTCCGAAAAAAAATCCGATGGAAAACTCGTTCCGACGCCGACCGAACTCCGAGTATTTTCGGTTCGGATCGGATCGGCGGTCGGTCGGCGGTCGGACCTCGGTCGGATTTGCGAACCCTGTTATGTACATATGGATAAAATAAAATGACGCAGTGTATGGAGTCGAAGGCAATAAATGACAGCGACTTAATCAAACTAATTTGAGCAATAAACTTTGGTATAATAATGAATTATACACACACCATAGAATACTGAGGAAAGAAAAAGGAGGTGGGAGTTGAGGGAAAGTACGTTCAATGATATAGGTCATTGCGACAATAAAAACTAAATGCTAGAATTATTCTTGTCATACACTTGGTAATCAAGTGCGTTTTTTTTTTCTTCTTGTTGTTTATTTTCTTTTTCTATTGTGTTACCAAATAAACCAAACAAATTACCTATTTATTTGGCGTATTTCGTCAAACCATGACTGTCGACTCGATTTAAATCCTTGTCATTTATTACCCAATTCCATTGTCGCGCTCTTTATTTTCATCGCTTATGTCGTCTTATGTGCACTTTGCAACCCCCTCTATTCTCACGTAATAAATGTTGTCGGCTTTCAATAGACGACGACGGCCAATGTGCAAACGTTAACGCTGCAATCAATTCTTATCCAGTTCGCTTTGCGTTCGTACACACACACACTCACTCACACACTGGCAATCAAAAGCGTTCGTCTAATTTATTTAAATCGAATGAAAATATTGTCACAAAATCAAGCAGAAATTCTCTATTGATCTAAATTATTAAGCTAAGCTCCAGTGTTTTCATTGAATGGCAAAGTCAAAACAAAAAGGTAGTAAGTACAGAGAGAGAGAGAGAGAGAGACTTCCGTTCAATTTTCAACAAGCTGAATCACTTGAATCGATTGCACTATATCACATTCGTGATAATGGTTTATTGTCTTAAAAGATTTACTTGAGAATAATGTAATCTCTTTTTGATGTTGTCGACAACTTGATCGAGATTTATAGCTGCAAAGGCATTGTGAAACGTGAATGCCATTGCAATGCAGTTAAATCAATAAATACAATCAAAAAAGCAAATACATAAACGAATTTATACAATTCTTTTATAGCGCATGGGGTATGGGTGCTTCAATAGAACGGAAAAGCCCATGAACACGATATAGATCGCCCAGCACTGATTTCGTTGAAAGAAAAATGGTTTTGCTTGATATGTGTGTGATTTCGAAACAAAACTTGAATTGGACACGTCAATATATAGAATCAGCTAAATAAAGAATACACAGAAACCAAAATGAAGAGAAATTGAGTAGAGACAGCGATCCGTATAGAGAACGAGTGGTCACCATGAATTCAGAGCGCGCTCTTTATTTTCTATCTTTGTATGCAGTTCGTTTGTATCATTTTTCATTGTTTGTATTTCTCGTATTGACATTTTTCTTTCTGACAATGGTAACAAACAACAAAACGATCGAGACAACACACACACGAGCGAAAAAAAATGAAAATGTCGGTCGCGCGTTCAACGACAATAATAACAAATGGCAGCAAATAAAATGAAAAACAAAAACAAATGTGTCGCATCGGCACAGTGTCATGCGCCACAACAGACCATAATACTCACACACAAAGGCACACACACACACGTTACATACAATGAAAATAATAATGACAAACCGTGGCCGATACCCATCCATCCAATGAAAAATTCATTTTGAAACCGTAGAGAGAAAAATCTAAGAGGAGAAAAACGTTCAATCTCTTTGGAATTTTTGCTGAAATAAGAATGCCACACAAATACTTGCAAGCTAAATTTTGAGAGCAACGGAAAATCGTAATATTAGTACACAATAAATATTGTACAAATATTTTAAGAATATTTCGTTATTATATTTATCAATTCCATTGTATAAATATAAAAATGTTTGCATTTATGTTGTTCATTGTTTTTCCTTTTTTTATCATCAAGAATCCAACGTGTAATAGCGTGGCGCTGAGCAAGCATAACAAAAGCGCCCTTCTTTCTTCACATTATTATTTTTTTGCCTTTAATAGAATGTGCAAAGATCAAAAGGGAAGCAAAAAAAGCCTTTACTAAACAAATTTGTTTAATACAAAATTTAGTGCAAACTAAGAAAGCCCATCAAACAAAGAACCGTAAAATATGTGCGTGAGTGAAAAATGTTTCATTAGATAATGCGTACACCATTAAGAATATCTATGTGTAATACAGCTGGCTTATGCGCTGCCAACAAATACGAACGGTGCTGAGAATGTGTCACCATGTCATTCATATTATGGCTGATGAAAGCTATCGACATGAAAAAAGAACGAAAACAGCAAACGCACAACAACAACAACCAAATACCACTTTACTATAGACGACATTTTCGAGTAATAAACGTAAAATATTGCTGATGTTTTTATGACATTGTATTGACAATACAATAAATTTCGGGTCGTTCCGGTATGTTCACGTTCATTTTTGCCTTTGAAACATAAGTATATACACATTTTTTTCTATACATATACTATATATTTGGCAGTGTCTGTTAATGATTTCCTTGTAATTTGGACAAAAAGAAAATTGTGTATATGATGTTTCAAAGGTTCGTAATTTTGACCTGGTCAGAGCAGCTTACTAACGTCGATAGAAGTAATCCTCACCCCATTTTTCGGTGACAAATTTAATAAAATGGAACATGCTTCCAAACGAAAAAGTATTACGAATTTCTTATTTTCAGTATAAACATGTGAAAGTTTATTATCTCTATTCAGCAAAGAAAAAAGTTAGATTCACACACGCAAGAATCGAAATTGAATTACGTTTCGCTTCCGTTCCAGTAACTTAGTTTTCACTTGTACTATTAATATTTTTCAACTTATTTTTCTGACGATTTTCCTTTTACCCACCCCGTTAACTTCACAGTATAATTTACAAATTTTAAAATTTTCTGCATTTTTATTGTCCAACTTTTATCCACATTCGAAGTTATTGAATGATTCTCCATGACCTTTTAAGTGATAAAAAATTACCTACAGTGATGATTAGCATGTGTTCAAATTATAGGTTAGAATCGTTTTATAATTTCTCTTTAAATGTCATTCGGGAAATTTGATGCAATAGCGCTTTGGAAATTGAATGTTGAACGTTTAAAACGTAACCGTATTATTTCACTTAAATGAATAAAAGTAACGTATACTTAAAATAGAAATGTTATGTGTAGAATGTCCTAGGTAATGTCAATTCTTAAAAAAATACGATGTTGAAAACAGAGTTATTCAGAATTGACATAGTTCATTTTATGGAAATGGACATAAATATACAGAACATCTAAGAATATAATAAACACTTACTAAAAACGTATTTTAATTCTAGACAACGGCGGAAAAATCTGTGAAGAAATAAGAAAGAAAAGAGACAATTAGATGGAAGTTGAGAGAAAAAAGTAGATTAATAAACTGTTTATTTAGCATTCCGTCCAATTTGATATGTTTTAAGGAGTCTGCTAAGACTTCGTAAGTTTTTGAGTGTAACTTTTCTTTGTCGAAAATGTTCTATTTGTCCTTTGAAAATGGCAAGTTTTTTTTTAAGTCATGGAAAGTTTTAAAAGTGTGTATATTATAAAATGAGGCACTTTATGCTATAGTTAAATGTGAAATAAAGCATCCAAATGTCAACGCATTTTCATAATTCTATTCCCTGTCCGTGCTGAGTAGTGAACAAGCAAGCGCGACATAATTTCGACGACAGCCAAGAACAATGGCACACTGCTTATTATATTGTGCTAGCAGAGAATTTGAAATGTGACACTAGCAATTTGTTGTGTATTTTTTTCTCTTTAGCTTGTCGTAAATGGTGATGCATAAACACAGTTATAAAGTTGTGAAGTATTTCATTCGCTGAAACAACAGAAAGTAGCAAAAAAAAAGAAAGAAGAAGAATAACTAAAAAAACACCATCAAGAGCTGAAAGTCAGCAATGCACAACAGCTTGCAACTCGCATACACAATCATTCGCGTAATAGTCGTTAGAACGAAAAACATGGTAAAATGCATTTACTTCGCGATTTTGTTGTTATTTTTTGGGCTGTCGTGTCAGTTATTTGGGTTGTTTCCAAACAATAGTTGTTAAGTTCAAATTATAAGCATCCCTTCATTTGTCTTGGGTGGGTGTTTGTAGCATGGCAATGTTCTCGTAACCGCGCAGAAAATGAAATACTTGATGTTAAGACAGACCCCATAATAAATCGGATGGGCCGACTGGGAAAGTGCAAATCTGATTACACAGCAAGAATTTTTGGAGTAGTTTATTGCGTTGTGCCTTTTCGACACCACCAAATCGATGTGGCGGAAGACGGCACACGCTAGGCAAACGCATACACACGAAAGACAGAAGACACAAAGTGGAAATAAGAAGCTTATCGAAAATGACAATGCAATTGGAATCCGTTGCCCAAATAAAAGCTATAGAACTTCATTACATACAATAAATAAATTCGGATGCACCAAAACGAGAAGAAATGCACTATAAAAACTATTCTTCGATTTATCTCTCTCTCCCTTTCTCACACTGTATACATATATATCTGTATTTGTTCAGTATCTGTTTTGTAAAAGATGTACAATTGTACATTGTACATTCGGATTATGTTTCACAGCTGAGTTTTCTCGTTTTGTCCTGCATTGTTCGTGCAATCAATTTAGCTTTTTGGATTTTGGTGGCTGGCTCGGATGCGTTCAATATGCGAAGTTGTCGCAATATTTTCTAATATTCGTGGAAAATCGAAATTAAAAACTTTGCAGAGAGAGTGGCGTGCAACTAGGGATCTTAATATATACCCTAACACACATATATATTGAAAAGTATTCGAGCACGATTTGTGCCGAATCGTTGTATCACATCGATAGCTGCGAACATCAAATCCAGAAAAATGGCACTGATATACTACAACGAATGAAAATCACATAAGTGTTTTATATTTAAGGCAGGAAAAAAACAAATCACAAAACCTCGATTTTTTTTCTCTTTTCTCTCTCTCTCCGCAGGCAATCCATTTTTCAGTTGGCACAGTTTGAAGGTTGAAAATTGTGTAAATCGCTAAAAAATGGCCCATTCAATTGTAGTTCAACTCAATTTTTCTTTTGCCTATTGTCGGAATGCAAATGCGAATTGAAGCACATATTTAGCAGCGTGCATTTGCAACCATCTGCATTGTTCGCATAGCGCGAGCCAGCAAACGAGCATAAACCAAAAGAATAAAAAAAAAGGAGCAGAAGAAGACGACAACGACAACAACAACAATGAATACGTGACTCTTATGTATACTCACTAAAGCTTAATTTATCACCGGTTTTCAAATTGGGACAGTGTATAGAGAAAAAAAAAATACACATATAAACATGAAAAGCATCGCTGCGTTTCCACAGTTGGAAAAATTTTGGTAGCATAAATTTATTGCCCGCAACGCGAACCATCAAACACACAACGAGAATATGGAACACATTTAACCACATAAATACGGTTGCTATGTGTCCCTTCTTTTTCGGTTTTTGTCTTTCTTCATTCCATTTCTCTGTGTCTCTTTATTTCTCTCTTACGCTATTTTTCATTTTCTTCCTTGCTTATAAATACTTTTGTTCTCTCTTCTTCTTGTAAATGTTGAATTTTTGTCACCGCAAATGTCCCGATGATTTTTTACATTCATTTTATACATACTTGACTTAAAGAAAGCCAGACCATATTTACTTTTTGATACATTTGCATTTCGTTTATTTCATGCATTTTGTTTATCTTTGACTAGTATTACAGTGCACAAGTTACACACACATACAAGCGAACAGATAAATACTGTGCCGGACGATGATTTCGCTGTCGGGCTGATGTTCTCAATGCTTGATGGGAAAATGCCACGTAGACAAATATTGTAAATGGTGCAATTCACCAGAGTCAGGATTTTATGTGATTTTGATTTTGTATATGTATGATTGTTGTCCCAACGGCAATCACAAAAGTTCTCGAGATGAGAGACACATATCATTTATATCGTATATATTGTAGTATATTTCATTTCGTCGGAAGTACTTCCCGTTTGAAAACATCGAAATTCTGCATCGTTTTCATTTCGATAATAAAATACCCATTTCATTACCAAAACATTTATCGAAACAAGACAAACAATATGTGTGTGCAGATTTTTGAAGAGATATGCAACATTTTAGGATTTTCATATCCGAGTGCATATTGAAAATCATTAAGTAGATACTTAAAGTATTTATCAGTCCGATGAATGTGAAGCTCGACGTTAAATACGAAAGGAACAGTAAAAGTGAAGGAGAGAGAAGGTCGAATGTGTATGAAGTAAAGTTACCACGTGTTTATTTGTTCTCTTGAAAAAAGCATGTGTGTTTGTTTCGTTGATATTCCAAATATTTGGCCGAAATTCCATTCTCTCTATGGAAAATCTTCCTGTGAACAAGTCTGAAAGCAATGTGATTTTCGTGTTGTCGTGCGGTTCCCTTTGTTGCGTACTTATTCTATCTAAGCAGCTTACTACTACTGAATCGATGGAAATTCAAAATATTTTGAATGTCAAAAGACGAGACGATCGAGGGAAAAAACACAACCGCATCGCTTCCATGTTCTTGATTTATATGATTCACGTTGCCGTTCTTTTTTTTGCCTTTTATTTTTTTCGTTCACAAGGAAATGTAATTGGCTGTTCGTAACCAACATACTGTAACATCTTCACACAGCACAATCAAATAAACATCGTAAACTGGCATGTATACATCGAATGCAAGAGCCAACGCTGTATGCAAAATAAACAGTGCAACACAAATATATTGAGAGAAGCCTCAGCTAAATTTTATGACATCAAATGTTTCGAATAAAAATTGTATGGAGCTTGTTTTCCATGTCTTTTGTATTCCATCCAATCTGATTGCAAACTTTTGCAGCCTCCTGAACTGAAACGAAATACAAGCTCTCGGTCACTCCAAAAAGAGCGAACCATCGACTGGCTCTTGCTCAAATAGGATTATTACAAACGGAGCAAGTGCCACAGTGTGTATGGTTCAGAGAAAGAAAGAAAGAGAGAGAGGGAGAGAGAGAGAGAACGAATGAGCACAATATAAATATTTCAATGCAAATGCATCATATGTAAACGTTTATTAATAATGTGCTCCGAATTACACTGAATTGGACATTTGTATTGTTTGTTAGCACAAAATAGTGCACGAGTCTGCATTCTTTGCACTTTGCACTTTCCCGAAACACGACGAGCATATGAGAGAGAGCATTTGCAATCCGTTGCATTCACCATGCACATCCTGGGCCTTACTCTTTCTACTTCACATTTAGAATCGAATCGTAAGCCCGAATGCTCTCTGTATATAATTTGAAAAATATGTTAAATTACATTTTGATTTATTTACAAATGGCATGTAGAGCTACTGTGTTTGCTTCTCTCATATTTTCGCATTTCGAATTATTATTATTTTGTAAGATGTAATAAAATTTTATTACTTCGTTTCTTGGTAAATATAATCCAGCCGCCGGGCTATTTCACAAGTAGATTTTTGCCTCCCAGAGATGTGCTTATCTCTCTTTCTCTCTTTTTCATTCGTTTCAAAACTTATTTTACGCCAAATATAAATAATTCAAGCGTTTTTATGAGTTTTTCTCGGGCACACATTTTGTGTGCGGTAAATGAAAAAAGAAAAGAAAACAACCAGCACGGCCATTATAATTGAAGGAATGGAATCAGCTCCCAATTATTACACCTAGTGCTCTCTGCTCGTTCACTCTGTCTCTCATATCCCGTTCGTTGGTTATCAAGAAGATTCATGTGATCTTGTTAACTATGAATGCACATTATCACGTTCACATATTCAATTTTGTTTGATAGCACACCGACGAACATGGATGCAAAAGCCGTATCTTTTTTTTGTAAGTGGCATTTGAACAAAATGAAATTTCCGTTTGAGTATAATGTAGGAATTCACGTATTTTTGAAGCGGCAAATATGTCAGCGAATGTAATTACATTATTTCTCCTCAATGGATTTGGAGATCGTGCGTGTACTTTAAAATGATTTACACGAAAGATTGAAAGGGCTGAATCAATCGCTTAATGCCACCACATTACACATATAGACACACCTTGATTTTTGAATTATTGATAAGAAAATGATGATTTTATTTCGAAATCGGCACGATACTCGGCTCCAACAAATTCACATTTATGCATATATTATGGTGAAAATTTTCACCTGTAGAACCCGTACATTAAACATTATTTCTACACACTCAAAGTCCAAATTATAGACATCGCATTTAAATTAATATGATATTTTCACTTCCAACAACACACACACAGGCATAAGAGCACACC